CTAAGGAACATAGTTACCAATATGATTCCGAGAACAATGAAAGCGATGATGAGCAGACCGAGGAGTGAACACAGAACTATCACCCATCCTGGAAATTCGGGTGGCTCTTCTGCGGGCTGAAATTACAAACACCTAATCGTATAGGATGCACAAAATCCTACGAACGTAATTTAATATATTTACGACAGGGGGGGCAAACGATTTACGACAGTAAATACTACAGGGGGCGAACGATTTACGACAGTGAATGTTACGCAGCCGGCTGAAAGGTGCGATAGAATATGTTTACTAGGCACTTCTAATTTTAACATATATTTTAAATTTAATTAGGGTCAGGGTTAGGGTTAGGGTTAGAGTTAGGGTTAGGGTTAGGGCACTTTTTAGGGTTTTTGCATCATTCTTTAATATATCGTAAAATATATGTTAAAATTAGAAGTGCCTAGTAAACATATCCTATCGCACCTTTCAGCCGGCTGCGAATGTTACAGGGGGCGAACGATTTACGACAGTTAATACTACAGGGGGCGAACGATTTACGACAGTGAATACTACAGGGGGCGAACGATTTACGATTTTACTTGATTTTATTCTAACTAGCAGAATATACATCATTAATGAAAAATGTCCCGAGGTTTAATGTATCGATAAACTTGCTTTGAATGACAGACGACGGGCAGCCAAAATCAGTATCCGAGCCATGCGACTATTTAATAGTTAATAATGAAATAATATTTATAAAACTGTTTGCCCGAATTTTTCTATAACATCGAAAATATCAGAAGCGGGACACTCCGGAGATGCCTGTGAGATGTGCGGAGATCAAAGGTTGGCGTGTGAGCTCACCTTATCGACTACGAACTCCATGCTCTCTACCGAGTCGTCATCAAATACGATTGGGACGTCTTGACCGTCGATATTGACTTCGTAGCTATCGCATGCTCCGGTTCCATCCGCAACACAGGTTGCCTCGGCAAAACTCTCCTGCAGGGCTGCGGGTATCTCCGCCTCCGTCAACTCAGTTTTTAGCAATACCCTGTGTTTCACGTCCAGCGGCGGCTGCGGCTGCGGTTGTTGTCGTTTCCGACGGGAACCCGCTGCCGCCACGGCACCTCCTTCTCCACTCAGCGAAGCATTACAGCTTTGATAATAATACCCACGAAAATTATTGGCGGCCAGGACACTGACGAAGTTCCATCGAGGATTTTATCTCTAACGCTATTCGATAATAGCAACATCTGAATGAATATAATTCGATTAAAATCTTTTATTTATTTAATTCTTAATTAGATTTTTATTAATTACTAGATTTTATTGCAATTTCAATACAGGATTGGCAATGATAACGTATATAACTAATGTATATCAAACATTACCTGAACTCGATGACTTCTGTGTCTTCATAGTCATCTTTAATAGGACTTTTCTCATCGCTATAGACATTATCGAACTGAAATTGTCAGAATAGCACAAGCTGACCTTTCCCGCTGCACATAACAAAATGAGAATACAAACTATATACGTATCACAGTCCCCTCGCAACATCTTAGATCTACATCTTAGTTGTTCGTTGATCACCGATATTTGCTCATCGTGGCTATACGAACCATATCTTCCAGCTCATTTTTCATTGACTTGTAGTCGTCCGTGTCCTGGTTGACGGGCGTGGTGCAGGTCTGTGCGTCCCAGGGGTATGTAGTTAGCACGACAGTGGCGGTCGCCGTCACCTCCTGTAACGCACACGCACATGCCCACGCACATGCACACACACACGCACGCACGCACACACACGCGCGCGCTCAGTCTCTCTCTCTCTCTCTTTTCTCCTCCTCGCTTTCTCCCCCTCTCTCCCTCCCCCCTCTCTCTCTCTCTCTTTCTCTCTAATTTTACCGTAAGTGCTCTTCACGCTTGCCACCTATTATTCTTGGTTAAAAGCACACGACAATCACCTACTTAAAAAATTACTCGAGCGCGTGATGACTGACGTCATTTCATCTGCTACCTTATATGGGGATGACGCAAGAACAGCGACCATGTTGTTCATTTTTAGAACCTCCGTAAAAGCGACGCCACAACTCTCGCCCGCGATATTATCGTGTGATGCAACAATCGTGCATCATGATATCCGTTGATGTTTCACTCGGTGAATCTGCGAATGTCGTATTAACGATTTATATATAAACGCATACAACTCGCGCTACTGTAAGCTACTGCTATGCGTGCGTGTTTAGCGGCGACTGGTTTCATGATATCGATTGGAAAGAGAGAGCCGCTGCTGCTGCTCCTGAAACGTGCCAGGAAAATAATACTCGCTGGAGACGAATTATAAAACGGTGTGGCTAACATATGGGAGTGACATCGCGTGCTTAATTTCGACGACGTTCAGTACAAGCAGTCACATTAACCTGCGAATTCAATGTGAATAATCATATGTGTATAACGGGAACGATAACAATACGTCTCGATAACTCCGACTGCGTTAGGTTTTGTGATTCGAAAAGAATCACATGCAAATTATTCGTAAACATTGAACTTTCAACACAGGCATTTAACATTCAATACAGGCATTTAACATTCAATACAGGCATATTCTATTCATATTATTTAGGTATAAAACCATAGGCCGTAACCATAACCGTAGGACAACCTATACGATTGGTATACATCATTCAGTGTATAACTATGCATTTCGTACTGCCCATGGTGTTTACAATAAAATTCGGCTACTCCACTCCATCCTATAGGTTTAAACATGCTATTTGAAACAACCCGTACGAAGATGCGCGCGATTAAAAGGAAACCATACTGGTGTAAGCTTATTTGCTCGATTTTAACGGCAATTAATACTAATAATAATAACCCGTTTTGTACCGGCATGGGTGGATGCGCGATGCAGCGTGCTGCATGTGCGAGCGTCTCGCCGCTATAGCCATCTCTACAGGCTGACATACGATACGCCCCGCAGCGTTTTAGCAGGTCCCAAAAATAACGGATGATGTCGACATCCCGGCAGCATGCGCTCGCGCGGGGGAGGATGAGAGACGGACTGCAGTGAGCATGCATGCAGGGACGGACTCACCTCGAACGTGATCCTCCCGACACTCAGCCCGTCTGCTGTCATGTCGAAGTAGCATCTCGGGTTGGCCATCTTCGTTGTCGACCTACGGAAGAAGGTGGTCAAGCCGAGACTGGCCGGAGAAGCCAAGCGACTCCTCCCTCCAATGCAGCAACGAGAAAACCAAACATCCATGTGACTTTATAATCGCCGGAACTACTTTCCTCCGGTCTACATGCGCCACCAGCAGGCTGTTCTCAGGAGTAGCACACTGGCGAGGCTGCAAAATGGCGGAGTGATGATTGAAAACGGTGGTTCGTCCTCGCTGCTGAATGAACATTATTATCGAAAAATCTGAAGATAACGTGAAAATAAAGATCTTTGTCGAATTTCAGTTTGGTGAAAGTTTTGCTACGCGTCATTAATGGATTCTCACGATTATTTCACGTTGTATAGCGGATGTAGAACATGCATGCTCAGACTCCCCCATATGAAGCCTGCCATATTTTAATTAAACTCGTATGATTCTGAGGCAAAAACACTTTTAAACACTGTAACCAGGTTTAAACCCAGATTTACGTTAGCCAGTAACTGCCACTTAGGTTAGCCAGTAAGAAACATCCTGAAAATAATGTGTTGTGGATATGGGTCGCATACTTGGCCATTTTTGAAATTTTTGATAATTGATTACTTATAATAATAACAACGATATATGCCCACACATATATAAGCCACACTATAATAATTATAACACTACAATCCTATATGCCTAACAATATAATCCCGTACCTAACTAAATTTAACTATGCAGATGGACTTTTTCGTACTAAACGACGAAGTCTAATAGATCTATACCTATCTCATGGTTCCATTTAAGAAAGTATATATGTCATATGGCGTGTCTAGGTGCACACTAGCCGGTCTACAGCTGTCGTTAAACTGCTATAGTAAGTCGCAACTCAGTATTACGTTAAACTACTATTAATCCCACTTCCAGATCTGAGATAATACTTGCTTCTAAAACAAAAATAATAATAACAACCGAATTAACAATTTATTATTCGTGGTTCGTTTCATTGCCGTGGGCAACACCATTGGCTAATTTCAAGTCAACCGTGTTAAGTCGTATAGCGTTTTACTCTACGCGTCGGAAAATAATCTAATTAATCTGTATTTAATTTATAAAGAATTTTTGACATGGTATTAATAGTGTCGGTTGAATGATACTGCAAAGTACAGAAACTTTCTAGTACCTAAGCACTGAAAAAGCTGACTATTCTTGAACCTATTGAATGTGAAATGTTTGATATGCATGCAAACGACCAGGAGTATATAAAACACTTATTTTTATTCACCCCTGAAACGGTCTTAGCATAGATACCGTCATTATAGATATCATACATACAACGTCACGGTATATGCCATTATCTAGGCCCTATACGTAAGACCGATATTTACAGTAGAATATTTTCACTAGATCTACTCAGTCTGTCTGTCTGTTTCTCTGGCTGTCCTTCTGTCTGTCTGTTCATCCGTCCGTCCGTCCGTCCGTCTGTCTGTCTGTCTGTCTGTCTGTCTGTCTGTCTGTCTGTCTGTCTGTCTGTCTGTCTGTCTGTCTGTCTGTCTGTCTATCTATCCGCGCTGTTCGTTTATCAGTGGACCTGTCAATGCAACCCGTATGCCCTCATTTTATTAAATATATATATCGCTTCCATTTTGCAGTAAGGTAACACGAGCTGCCTTCATTTTAAAATATGTACCTTTGATGTTATGATGGAATTGAACGTTTTAACAATCCCCATCTAGATAATGCACTCCTCTATTTATTACGTAATCCAAAGATTTTCTCACAATTATATGGAATAAACTAACATCAGCAATTTACTATATACGCAAGCTCTTCTATTACGGTACTATAGAAGGTTAGTTTGTACTGACGACAATATACCTGTAGGTAGTTCAGATTGTTACCCCGGAAATGAACTTTAGCAGAGACTGCGTCACTTCCGTTGATAAATATCCCGTCGAACGCATTGTCATCAAATCGGCGAAGGTATCGATTGTCCTAGAAAGCCATGTCAGAATGTTAGATATTTAGACATTGTACAGAAACAACGCGTGCGAAGCGACGTCGTAAAACTTGCATTTATATTTATACTATAGAGAGACTTGTAATTATTTATCTGTCATCGCGATTATGTTTTTTTATGGAATGCATTGAACGTGCAACGTGGGATCTGTAAGATGCCTATAGATCTAATAAAATAAAATATCATCACGACTAGTTTCTAGTACATATCTTATAGGATATTATAAGAACATATCTAATAAAACGTTTTCAAAAAGACACGCACGTTTAATAAATTTCGACTAGATACCTCTATGTATAACGCCTGAAGCGAGGGCAAGTTCACAAATGCCCGCGGTTTTATCGCTATCAACAGAGGCATCTTTCTGATGAAGAGGTCCGTCAACGCCCACAAGTCGCCGAAGCGTTGCGACGGGAGCTCAGCTATCGGATTCTGACTAATATCTAGCGTCTGCAGCCGCGGCAGCGCTCTCAGGTTTGGCAAGAAGTCGTCGACGCTGCTAAATGAGTTGTTGGCCAGCCAGAGGGAGCGCAGGTTCCTATTGTCCACGAAGACGTCCTCGGGGAGCTTCTCCAGCTGAAGGTGATTGATATAAAGCGACTGCAGTGTCGCTAGATTCCGGAATATTTCTGCAGGAAGTTCGCCGCCGATGTCGTTGTTACTGATGTCGAGAGTTTTCAGCGAGCTTAGTCCGTCAAAAGCGCCCGTCACGAGGTCGGTAACGCGGTTGTGGTCGAGATGCAGCTGGGTCAAGCCGTCGAGGCCGGCTAGCATGTCGACACGGACAACCGTCAACAGGTTGCGACTCAGCAACAGTAGTCTGAGCTTGGGCGAATCGGCGAAGGTGTTCGGCTCGATTTCCGCGATGGCGTTGTCCTGTAACGACAACGTCTTCATGTCGGCGAAGTTCTTAAAAGCTCCGGCTGGAATGCGAGCGATTCTGTTCGAACTGAGGTCGAACGTCGTAGTCGTACTATCCACGTCGCTAAAGTCCGGCAGCTCGGTGAGGTTGCTGTCTTTGCAGCTGATGCTTATTCCAGGCTTACACCAGCACACCTTAGCGCACGGGCCCTCGTTCGCTTGCGGTCTCAGCTCCACCACTGTCACGCAAATCGCACACAACATGGCGACTACACGTAAGCACGCTCTCGAAGCCATATTTGATAGTAGCCGAGTAGACAAACTTTCATTCTGCTCGCGTCAGTTCGCGTGCGCTCCGCTGCCTTGTCTTTGTCTCAGTGAGAGTTTGTAATAAATAAATTGCGATACAATTTGTAATTCATGAACAGTTCACGATGGCACGTATATAATATAGTAGAACGTCTGACATTGCGATTATGCGTGCACGGTAGCGATCGCAGCACGTAAACAAGGACCGACAACGAGTACAAAGGTCGGGTTCGACAAATACCGCGGTCTGCATACCATACCATGGTACATCATATATACGTGATGGTGCATGTATAGACCGCTTGCGCCAATAACTATTACTATAAATTCCAGTATTTTGAGCAATCACATGTGCATTCCTGTCTATGTATCTATGTATATATGTATATATATATATATTTGTTTATTGCCCCTTTAATACCGATAATAATCGACCGGAGAGGCATACTCGATAAATTGCGCTCTCTACGATACAATAAATAAATAAATAAATAAATAAATAAATAAATAAATATATATATATATATATATATATATATTTATTTATTTATTTATATATTGTATCGTAGAGAGCGCAATTTATCGATTATGCTTCTCCGGTCGATTATTATCGGTATTAAAGGGACAATAAACAAATTAAACCCCGCTTAAACGATGTAGGGAGATAGCGGGATTACGTACGTGGCGAATGGAGTTGAAGATTCCACCGGCGTTGACGTGTCTGTGATAGACGATGTCACTTCTGTGATAGACGATGTCACTTCTGTGATAGACGATGTCACTTCTGTGATAGACGATGTCACTTCTGTGGTCGGCGTTGTCACTTCTGTTGGAGGCATAGTGTGTATAGTAAGTACCCAACAGTAAGTAAATATCTGTGAAACTGTACAAATTTCCATTTTAATTTTTTTCGACAATATTATTTTTTTGGTCGCGGGAAAACGTCGTGGCAGCCCCCAAAATCCCATAACCGTTAGCTTTCTGAATGCGAAATCGCATCAACGAAGATTCCCCGAATTAATCCTCGATTCCATCATGCCCTTATATTCGTGATCATTTGATACTGATTCAACTTTGTCTCTTTCCGTCTTCGTTATAGTCCCCTGGACTTTGAAGACTAATATTTACGAGGTTACGAGGTTATCATACGGATAGAACGAGGAAATACTGACCGGCAACGCGCGCTTGTGGTCGGATGACGTCATAAATGTGACGTCAGCGAGGACGCCCGTTCGCGAGAGGGGCATGCACAGGCACTTGGAACGTTTCCGTAATAAAATAATTGTGTAATAATACTTGTGTATTGCAGAGCAGCAGTTGAACGGCATTTACAAGAAAACTATTGGTGATAATAGGCGAAATAGAGTAGAGAAACATTAAGACTTTGGTAGTGAATACATATCGTGTTCATTTACTAGCATTTCATTATCGAAACGTTCCAGGTGCCTTTGGGGGAACCGCACCTACCTAGTTCTGTCTCGCAGTGGTCACCCGTGTAGTCCGCCTGACATACGCACAGGTATTCGCTCAGGTCGTCTTTCGCAACCTCACACACGCCGTAGTTACAGTCGGTTCCGTTGCAAGGGTCGCTGACATTGCACAGCGCGCCCACGTACCCTACGAAACAGTTGCACGTAAACACGTCCGGAAAGCTGTCGTTCTGTCGGCATATTCCGAAGTCGCCGCAGAGGTTGTGCACGTCGCTGCAAGCTTCCTTTATGTCGCACGCCTCCCCCGCGTAGCCCTCGTCGCAGATGCACGTCACGTTGAGAAATTCGTCGTCGAGGACGCAGTTTCCGTGCGCGCACGGGGAGTTGGTGGGTAGACACGGGTTCTCGACGCTGCAATTCACTCCGACGTAGTCGGCGACGCATTGACACGTGTAGGCGCCGCCCTGCGCCAAACACTGACCGTTCTCGCACGGGTCGGGATCGCACGGGTCGTTGACGGAGCAATCGTCGCCCATCCAACCCTCGTCGCAGATGCACGTCACGTTGAGAAATTCGTCGTCGAGGACGCAGGTTCCGTGCGCGCACGGGGAGTTGGTGGGTAGACACGGGTTCTCGATGCTGCAATTCACTCCGACGTAGTTGGCGTCGCATTGACACGTGTAGGCGCCGCTCCGCGCCAAACACTGACCGTTCTCGCACGGGTCGGGATCGCACGGGTCGTTGACGGAGCAATCGTCGCCCGTCCAACCCTCGAAGCAAATGCACGTCACTCCGTTCACGCTTCCCAGTAGGAGATGGCAATCGCCGTTAACGCAGGGGTAGGTCAGACAGGCGGACAATTGCTCGCAATTGTCGCCCGTGTACCCGGGCGGACAGTCACATTGGTACGTGCCGTCGTTGTCAGGGTGCGGCGTGCAATTGCCCTCGTTTTTGCACGGGTTAGGCAGGCACGGGTCATTAATTTCGCAGTCAACGCCGATCCATCCGGCTTCGCAATTGCACTTGTGACACGGAAGAGGATGGTGAATCATGGCGCCCCAAAACAGAGGCCAAATGCTGCCTTAATGGAATGCTTGAGTCATTGGTAGCCAGCACCGGTGAATCTTGTTCCGAAGTGTTGAATGTCAACATTGTTTGACGTGCCTGTCATTGGTGGCACATGCCTTGACCAAAGAAGTCCCAACTATTCCTGTTAAAACATTTCCAGAACTATTTACAATTTGTGTTCTTCCCTATATTAGGAACACATGCAACAAAAGACGTTTTTGTTTCGCGTAGATTGTTTGCCTGTGATGTCTAGCAAGGGAGGACAGCTTAAAGGCACAAAACACGACCAGAACCGTGACTGGTAATCAATCTCCGGTGAACAATAGCAGCCAAGATTCCTGGTAAACGGAAGAACTTCCTTACGGGCTGTGATGCAAGCAAAGACAGCCCTGTTCCAAACTTCTAGCCAATCGCAATACAAGAGTTCAACCTCCTGCGCACAGAAGCTAGTGAACTCACACATGGCCACGAATTGCTGTATTTCATCTCCTATAGCTGACGCTGTCAGAGTTTGTTGCTGCATCTCAACGAAGAACAGGACACACGGCTTCCTTGTTTTATCTTTCCCATTCGATTCGCATCATGGGTTTACCAAGCGATGATTACATGCAACAGACTACTGATGTGGTGGTTATCGGGTCAATTGGCAGTGTAAGTGTTACTACGCGTGACTGAAATATTGATAGCAATTTGGTCATGGGTGCTAAACTAGCTTTACAGTTCAGTGGCCGACCTAATTGGCAGGTGAATTAGGCCAACGATAGCAATCAGTGTGGAGTCCTTCTATTCCTTCCAGCGTGCAATATCAGAATGCTGAGAGCTGTTCCAGCTTTCCGATGGAATTGGAAGAGAGAACAGCTTGGGGCTGTTTTGTGCAGGTATGCCTGCATCTCAACCGATTTTTGCTCGCACTATCCATGCCTATGCTCGCAAAGCCAGGTACGCCTCGACGACTGTGGAGCAAACCAAAGAGATAATGTTGTTTCTCGATTGTATCAGCGACATCAAGCACTGAGCCATGTGAATGAAAGCCAGGAAAGCAGTTGTTCACTTCCCAAGCGCGCGTAGACTGGAAAACATTGCCTCTTAACGCGCATGCCGGCTGGACACAGCCATGTGAAAGGGCTGCTTTATCAGGCATCACGAGCATCTGAACAACCCCATGCAAGTCGCGCTTATAGGAGAGCTCCTGAAGTTCGCATTGCCGCCAGATTTATGGGCTGTGAGATAATGTGACACGATATTCCCACTCGCGACTCCTGGCTGGATCCACTCTTCGCATTGTAGGCAGCCAAAGCTAGGCAGGAACTGTTAAAAGATGTAGATACAAAAGTCATCAGTAGCAAACCCGATGCAAGTATTGTGCAAAAGCAAATCTCGATGTGTACACAGATGTGGCTTCTGTCAGTGACACGTGTAACAGAGAATCAAGCAACCCAATCTATCAATATGAGACACTGACAGAGATCATTTAACTGTTTCTTTAGACAATAATCACATGATACCACCATTGAATAGGGGGGGGGGGCCTTTACACGGGCAGACGCTGCGTGTCTTCTATTGGCGTGCCACTGGCCGTCTTATCATGATAAATCTGATGGACACGGACGCTTAGGCGCGGCCGCGCAGGCGTACCTTCGCAAAGTATAGACAGAAATTATGAACTCGAATGTATAGATGGCATCACTTAAGTTTTATCATAATTTTTCACGTGTTCTATCCCAGTTTCTTTTGACCTAGAAAAACATTTTAATTGTTTTTGTTTAATTTGAACGATTGTAATGTTAGGATATTCTCAATGTTTTCCATCGGATGTTCCTTGACATAAAAAACAGGTATATGATAACTAGATGCCTCCGGTAACGGTGGCACGGCGTATAGCCATTTTATGGCAAAAAGAAAAATGCGTTTGTTGGCAGCAGCATTTGGGACGTTTGAGTTTTGTTTGGGCGGAAATGTTAGGATAAGATCACCAATGTTTTCTATACCGCGTTCTAATGGGGTTCATTTGATCTCAAAACATATTGTATATGATAGCCAAATCGAATTCATGGTACTTTGGACTTCCCAGCTATTTATGGGCAAAGACTGGTTTGGTGGCGGCGCAATTTTGAATTTTCAACCTTTTGCGCGATGGAAGGATTATATCTTTATGCTGAATATTTGATATGTGTTTTATTGCATTCTTTGACTCAAAACACTGGTAGTATCACACCAAGATCCATGGAATCGGCGGCACTTACAGCTGATCTATGGCAAAAACATTTTTTCTGGTCGACGCATGTTTTACATTTTTGATTTTTGGGCGGGAACGTTGGAGTGAATCCGTGGTTTGCCGCAATTTCTTGTAAATCAGTAATACTCCAAAACGGCCCTAATGCAAATTTTCATGCTGTCTTGTGCGCAGAAGCTGCACACCCGTCAGACACATATCCGCCCCACTATAAAAAAATTGTTAATGTTTCAGTCGCCGGACACGATCGCGTCTGGTGCATCAACAACCGCTGTGGTGTTAGGCCTTAGAGTCCTCTATATACACGAGAGTACAGCCCACTCAGGATTTGACCTCCCATGCTTTGTTTCCAAATGTATCACACCCGGCTGCCGCTTCTAAGTAGCAGGCGCTGTATGGATACCGCTGTACACATGGCCTGCCCGTAGTAATTAATTAGA